GCTCGGGGTGCCTTTGGGCAACACAGCTTCCACAGGCCAGGGCTCAAGCGGAGAAGCCATTTTTAGTTCCGGGCAGGTCTCCCAAAAAACTTTCCACCCCGGCCTTGCACGGCCCAGGCGAGGAACCTCCTGATAGCCAGATCCAGGCGCCCAGGCATGAGCAGATTTGAGGCTCGTCGAAGTTGAATACTGCACCTCTAGACACTATCCAGCCCCGAAACCCAAGATTGAGGCTTCGAGCCGTGTTGACAGAAATGGGACGAACTCGTACTAGGAGAGCCCAATGCCTCTTGCAACCCGTACGAAACCCTTGCAAAACCCTATAAAAAACGCTCCATAGAAACCTTCCGAGAAACTTATAGCACAACCCCATAACAACCCTTCCAAAACCATCTGAAGCCCTCGAAGGATGTCCGGCGCCGGTGTGGTGCTGAATTGCGTGGCCTGTCGGATGTTCTTGGCGGACCCGGGTGTGGGTTTGCTGAAGTTGGTGGGGTTTTCAAGGTTTTCTCATTCTTTACAGGGTCGGCCCCTAAATGAGCGACCGTCAAAATCTAGCGTTGATTAGCTTTAGTAAGGGATGGACATCAGTTCATGGTTTGGTGGCTTTTGATCTGCAGAACGATATGGGACACGCAGAAAACGATAACTCCAGCACGATGATAAATGTATGCGAGGTAGGGGCTTAGTAAGAAATTAGCGGAAGAGCGTGTTAACCAGCAGAACTATATGGGACACGCAGAAAACGATAACCCCAACATCCATGTCCTTCAGAAGTCAGTGCACAGACCGCTATGGCTCCATGTGGCCCCTCCCTGCAGCCTGACGAACTTGCACCAAGTGTTGCAGATGCCAAGTTGCGCGGAAGAGGTTTAGTCCTATCATTGTACTGTCTGAGAGAGGGCCTTGCGTGGTTCTTTCCGATACGTCTCGATGTGAGGACGAAGTGTGAAGTGCAGCCAAAGGAGGAAGCAAAGATCAGATCTCATTCCGATGCAAGAGCTTCTGCTCCCAAAAGCATCAAGTAAGAAATAGAAATGTGAAACCCAAGAACCAGCCCAAAGCAAGCGAAACACAACGCAAATTTCACACTCTGCAAGACGCCCGTGAAGTGCTATTGGTTTTAGCTCGATTATCGAAGATTGGAACAAATACGATTTATTATCACCAGATTGCTAAAGATGTGTAGAAATTTTCTTGATGCTATTAAATCACGCTTCATTATCAAAGATCGGAACTATACGATTTGTTGTCGCATACGTGCGTTTGATTCTCAAAAGTTATCAAAAGTTGGAAGAAGTGCGATGTTTGGTCATTGATTCTTTGATTTTCACAGGTGGGGAGAAAAAAAAATTGATGCTAATAATTGGTATTTGATCATCAAAGATGGAAAGAAATATGGTTTGACATTTATAGTTCATATATGATAATGAAATTTCATTTGTTCTACGATTTCGAAATAAAATTGAATGATAAAAATATATATTATCTGCTAGTGATTCGGCCAATTGGCATAGATTCTTTAGGCTAGTGTTCGATATATTATATATATATTATTAAATTATGATCGATTGAAGTTGTGGGGTTGGGCGGTTGGGTTGGCGAGGAGAAGAATTGAATTTAAAATTATATTGAAGGTGCGGAATATCCCCATAAAAGGCTACGGGCTCGACCCCTATTTTCGCTCTGCGGCCGCCCCATCGGATGCCCCGCCTCCTCTTCCGGTCCATTTGGCTGCTTGTGAGGGCCTTGCAGGGGGATCCTGAAAATTCCGGGAATTTTAATACTTTGTGTCTAAAAATCCTGGGAATTTTGGGAATCACCCGGAGCTGAAAATTCCCGGAATTTTAGGAATTGTCCGGATTGAGGTTTGGGCTTGCCGGGTTGGATTTAAGGTTCCAACGCACCAATGATGACGTGGGTGCCCCTTCACCTTCAAGGAAATCTTCAAGGAAATCTCTTGATCCAGGGTAGTTCCGATGACGGTCGCCGCCCGCCAGCTGTTCAAGGGGGTTCGGCCTCACGATCACATATCAGCAACAGCTCTCGAAAAATCCTAGGAATTTAAATTCGGAATTTTCGGGATCCCCCGGGTTCAGGGTTTTACGCTTTACGGTGTAGGGTTTTGGGGTTTAATAGAAATTGTATAGGGTTTGTGTCCGGAGTTTTGTGTGTTTTGGGGGGGTTTTGTTTTTTGCTTTTGCTGTAATGGTTTGGGTTCTGCCGGGTGTGGTGGGGGGTGGGTGGTTTTGGGGTGCTGAGGGGTTGGGGCTGAAAGGCTGGGGTTGTGGGGGGTTTTCCCGAATGTCCGTGGTGGTGGTGCCGTGGGGGTGGTCCGTGGTCCCGTGGTGTTCGTCGTGGTGGTCCCACAACGTGGTGGCGGTCCCGTTGGTGCTCCTTTGGTAGTGGTGGTCTGTCGTGGTGGTGGCGGTGTCCGTGGTGGTGGTGGTGGTGGTCCCTGGTGGCCGTCGTGGTGGTCTCGTGGTGGTGGTCCCATGGTGGTGGCCGGGTGGCGGTGGTCCGTGGCGGTGGTCCGCGGTGGTGGTCTCGTGGTGGTGGTTCCGTGGTGGTGGTCCTGTGGTGATTGTCTCGTGGTGGTGGTCCCGTGGTGGTGGTCCCGTGGTGGTGGTCCGTGGTGGTTGGTCCGTGGTGGTGGTCCGTGGCGGGGGTCCGTGCGGGTGGTTGTGTTGGTGGTCGTGGTGGTGGTCTCGTGGTGGTGGTCTTGTGGTGGTGGTCTCGTGGTGGTGGTCTTGTGGCGGTCTCGTGGTGGGGGTCTCGTGGTGATGGTCTATGATTTGGGATCTTCTTTTCAGGAATGCTTGGATCATTTGAATTTCGATTCATAGAGGGAATTCCATAGGCTCATCGAAAAACCAATATTTTGATGCCATCGCAACATTCTTGGATCTATAAGAATGATTTATGAATTTTCTTTTCATTCGAATTCTTTGTAGGATATCCCTCACGAAGGATCGTGGATCGAATCTGTTTCTTGAATATGATGGATATTATTGGAGGAGATTGAAATCATATTTCATCTCATCAGAATATTTTTTGAATCGAGGGTTCGTCTCACTTTTGATTCTTTGTATTTAGGAATCTTCGATTCTTCTTATTTTTTTCGTCTTTATGGAATGAT